AAGCTGGCCTTGAATGCACTCTGTAGTCCAGGCTGGTCTCAAACTCACAACAATACTCTTCCCTCAGCTTCCCCATTGCTGGGACTACAGGTTTGCACCACCACATCCAGCTTTTCTCTTTTCTTATGTAGCATTAGAATTCAGTTATAGAGGCTCCACCCTAATGACCCTATCCAATCATAATCACCCACCTGTACCACTACCACTGTACTCAGAGTTTAAGTTTTCACCCTCTTTTTCTTTTCTTTTTTTTTTTTTTTTTTTTTTTTTTTTTTTTTTTTTTTTTTTTGCGGAACCAGGGATTGAACTCAGGCCCTTGCACTTGCCAGGGAAGCGCTTATTCCACTGAGCCATCTCTCCAGCCCCTAGTTTTCACCCTCTTAATACCTCACAGTGAGAATTAACTTTCAGCGCATGACCTTTAGAGGACACCCACAGACCATACCCAAAGCAAAGCAGGCAGCCATTGGCCACATGTGGATATCGAGCATTTGAAATATGGCTAGTGCTATCAAGGAATCTTTTTTTTAACGTATTTGGTACAGGGTCTCGCCACACAGCTCAGACTCATAGTGATCCTCCTGTTCTCAGCCTGTCCAGCGCTGGGATTACAGGCATGCCAGTGTCAGTGGCCAACACAGTATGCCATGGGACTGGTCCAACACAGCATGTGGTGCCAGGGATTGAACACCAGTCCCTGCAGTTGCCTCAGCAGGTGTTTAGTTTGCTGAGCTATCTCACCAGCCCAAAGAACTTCATTTTTAACTTAATTCTATCTTAAGTTAAACTTAAGTAGCCTAATATTTACTATCTTAGAACAGCCCTAGGGAATAGATAAGAGATTTGGAAGAAGAGAGGGCCATGGCTGGCCTTGAGACCTTCACCATTAAGAGATTAGGGAGATGGAAAGAAATGAATCATCAAGGGACACTGAAAAGTAGCAATCAATAGAGTAAGGGGCAGAGCAGAGGCCTTGGACATAATGTCCTGGAAGCAAGTGAAGGAAGTACATCCAGGAGGAACACATGATCAATGTAGTCAAATGTTGCTGAGAGGTCAAGTTAGACAGAATGAAAAAGTCATTTGGAGTTAGCAATATACCTTCACAACTAAAGCTGTTTAGTGGAGTAGTAGAGGCTAAAACTGACTAAATTTAAAATGTGATGACCATGAGATAATTACTTAACCTTTCTGAGCTTCTACTTCCTCAACTATAATATTTGCTTTACAAAATTTTGACCAAAGTGTTGGGTAAATAATACATAGTCAACATATAGTTACTGCTGGAATATGATTCTTCAGAGAGAAGGAAGTAGAATGATGTTGAACCATTATTTTGGGACAGCAGTCAGTAATTTCCTTCCAAAAAAAAATCTTTACCCTTCTAAGGCTCTCTTTCTAGTAATTATGTGTAACTGAAGAACAAGAGAACAGAGACTGGAGTGTAATGCACAGAGCCAGGCTAGAAAGGCAGACTCAGCTGGTGCAGAAGACTCTGCCATACATGAATGAAGCACTGCTGCAGCTGCTCTCACCTTTTGGTAGAGAAAGGTCAGGGTCATATATATGTTTTAAATGGTGAAGATGGTCCATAAATGAACTATAAGTAAGTCATGAGTGTGATAGGCAAGAAGGACTGGGTAAAGAGATAGAATTGAAATAGTCTAGAAGGACAGGGTAAGAAGGCCAGAAATGAAAGAAGAAAAAAGAAAGTACTCGAGTTGTCTGACTTGTGTGATTGGGTAGATTGTTCCCATGGCAGGTGAACAATGGCCCCCGAAAAGAGAAACATACATGCCCTAGGTCCTGGAACCTGTGGATGTGTTCCCTTACCTGGCAATGAGATCTTACAGCATGTCTGAAGGTATGTGCCTGAGACATGGAGAGTATCCAGATGGACTCAAAACTAAGCATGAGTTCACGAACTCCAGAAACCTTTTCCAACTGTGATCAGAGAAAGATATGATAAAACCAGAGTAAGAGACATGAGATGTTGCTTGCTTTAAAAACAGGAAAGGGAATCACAAGCTGGGGAACCAGAGCAGCCATTAGAAGCTAGAAAAGGGAACAAAGTAGATTTTTTTTCTAAGCTGCTGAAGTCCAGCTAACACCTTGTCTTCAGTAGAGTGAGACCCATGGCAAACTTCTGACCTCCTGAATTGTAAGATAAATTTAAGCCACTAAATTTATAATAGTTTATTTTCAGGAACAGTGGAAAACTACCACAATGCCGCTGATCAGTAACAACAACAAAAATAGGGAATATAAGAGAAGCAGATTAAAGGTAGAAACTGTGTGGTGATGCACCCCATAATCTCAGCATTTGGGAGGCTGAGGCAATAGGAATAAATATAATTGAAAGCCGGGCTGGGCTACAAAATGAGTTCAACACAAAGCAAGTCTGAATTGCATAGCAGGATGGGGGGAGGAGGGGAATAAGCCCTTCCCTGGCAAGCGCAAGGGCCTGAGTTCACTCCCTGGTTCCACCAAAAAAAA